ATGAAGTTTCTTTCTTCCTCCGTCTGAGGGGACTGATCCTTGGATAGGCGAAAGTGACTGGCCAAAGGTGTGCTAACTGGCTTGGCCTTGCCCATGTTGAATCTTTGTAAAACACGATTGATGTACTCCTCCTGAGATAACTGCAAAATTCCTCTTTGCTTATCTCTCGTGATTTGCATTCCAAGAATCTTCTTTGCTGGACTTAAGTCTTTCATGTCAAATTCTTTTGACAGCTGCATCTTTAAATCTCTAATCTCGTTCATATCTGAACCTGCTACTAACATATCATCAACATAAGGTAGCAAGATGATATAACTAGACTTATATCTTTTGAAGAAACAACAGTGATCGGCATTGCACTTCTGGAAGTCTTCCTTGTGCATGAAGCTTTCAAACTTCCTATACCACTGTCTTGGGGCTTGTTTCAGGCCATACAAACTCTTCTTTAATCTGCATACCATATTCTTTTTCCCTTCTTCTGAGAAACCTTCAGGTTGATGCATGTAGATTTCCTCATCTAAGTCTCCATGAAGAAATGCAGTCTTCACGTCCAATTGCTCAAGATAGAGCTCTTCACTAGCCACAATACTTAAGACAAACCTGATAGTATTGAGCTTTACAACTGGAGCAAAGATTTCAGTGTAGTCAACTCCTTCTTTTTGCTGAAATCCTTTGACAACTAGTCGGGCTTTGTATCTTTTGGAGCCATCATGGTCCTCCTTCACCCGATACACCCATTTGTTGTGAAGTACCTTCTTTCCCATAGGTAACTCAGCTAGTTCCCATGTCTGGTTGGAGATCAAAGACTTCATCTCGTCTTTCATAGCAAGCTCCCACTTATTGGCATCTATAGTCTGACATGCTTCTACATAATCTTCAGGCTCTCCTCCATCAGTCAACAACATGTAATCCATATATCTCCTGTTAGGCACATGAGGTCGAGAAGACCTTCTCAATACAGGAGTTGAAATAGGAGCCTCTGATGTGTCAGACTGCTGCTCACTATTCTCTTCAGTTGATTCCTCTGACTGAGGATTCTCAACTATAGGATTTTCTAGGACATCATTCACTTCTGCATACACTGGCTCAATCTGTTCTGCATTGTTGGCGCTTATGCTATGCTTGTCCTTATACATCACTCTTTCATTGAAGATTACATCTCTGCTGCGGATCATCTTTCTGTTTTCATCATCCCATAGGCGGTAGCCAAACTCATCTTCACCATAACCGATGAAAGTGCACTTCTTTGATTTGGGATCAAGCTTACTCCTGCCTTGATCATTAATGTGCACATATGCTACACAGCCAAAAACTCTAAGATGTGAGAGTTTTACCTCTTTTCCACTCCATACCTCTTCTGGTATTTTGTGCTCCAATGGTACCGATGGACCTCGGTTGATCAAGTAAGCTGCTGTGTTGACTGCTTCTGCCCAGAACTGCTTTGGTAAGCCTGACTGCACATGCAAGCTTCTGGCTTTTTCAGTCAACGTTCGATTCATACGCTCAGCTACACTATTGTGTTGAGGCGTACCTGACACGGTCCTCTCCATTCTGATCCCGTGCTGATAGCAAAACTTCTTGAATCTGGTGTCTTCATATTCACCACCATTGTCGGTTCTGATCTTTTTAATTTTCAATCCTGTTTCATTTTCAACCATGGCTTTCCACATCTTGAAAGCCTCAAATACTTCAGACTTATATTTCAGAAAGTATACCCATACCTTTCTGGAGTGATCATCGATAAAAGTCACAAAGTATTACTTTCCACTAATGGATGGAACAGATGTTGGACCCCAACCATCAGAGTGAACAAGCTCGAGTCTTTCCTTTTTTGGGGTTCTTCCACTTGTCTGAAAGTTGACTCGTTTTTGTTTTCCAAGTATACAGTCTTCACACATGTCAATTTCTACTGACTGAAGACCTGGTAGCTTACCGTTTGAGTGCATGATTTTCATCCCTTTCTCACTCATATGGCCTAGTCTCTGGTGCCATAGATTGAGATTTTCATATGCTGCAACTGTAATCAGATGACATGCTTCTGCTGTCTTATAAAGAGTACCACTCTTTTTGCCACGAGCAATTACCATTGCACCCTTTGAAATCTTCCAATTATCACCGTGGAAGACTGTTGTGTAACCTTCACTGGCCAATTGGCTTACTGAGATTAAGTTTTTCGTTAGGTCGGGAATATGTCTGACATTTTTCAATTCCCATACAGACCCATTCAACTTAATCTTCACTATACCTTTGCCCACAATCTCACATGATTGGTCATTATCAAGATAAACTTTACCAAGGTTTCCGGGAACATAGTTCTTGAAGAATTCTCTCTGCGAAGTGGCATGAAAAGATGCTCCAGAGTCTAACACCCAAGACTCTTCCTTGCTCTCTAAAGAACATATCAATGCATCATCTCTTCCAGAGGTGGAAGCAACATTTGCCTCGTCTTTCGCCTCCTGATTCTTCGGTGCACTCCTGCACTGATTTTTGTAGTGTCCCGTCTTTCCACAATTCCAACACTCAATAGTCTTCGAGTTGTTAGAGCTATGATGATTTCTGGACTTGGAACGCCTCACCTTTGATTTACTGCGTCCTCTTCCTCTGGTTGAACTTCTGCCTCTTGACTCTGTATGCAATACTGAAGAGGTTGATGATTCACCCGACTCTCTACGCCGGATCTCTTCACTGAGAACCAAATCACGAACATCATCAAATTTCAACTTATTGCTTCCCGATGAGCTACTCACAGCTGTGACAGTAGCATTCCAACTCTCAGGCAAGGAAGATAAGAGAATTAAAGTCCGTACTTCATCATTGAAATCGATTCCAACTGAACTTAATTGGGTTGTGACAGTGTTGAGTTCGTTTAGATGTTGCGCCGTTGAGACGCCTTCTGCCATCCGTAAGTTGAACAACCGCCTCATCAAATGAACTTTGTTTGAGGCTGACGGCTTTTCGTACATGCTTTCAAGAGCCTTCATAAGATCCGTCGTAGTCTTTTCTTTTGCTATATTGAAAGCAACATTACGGGATAATGTTAATCGGATGACTCCAAGAGCTTTTCTGTCCAGAAGTTTCCAGTCTTCTTCCTTCATAGATTCTAGTTTCTTGCTTGTGAGAGGTTCATGCATGCCTTTTTGATACAAATAGTCCTCTATTTGCATCTTCCAAAAGTCAAAGTTTGTACCATCAAACTTTTCAATTTTCACCTTTCCTTCATCTGCGGCCATCACTCCCACTCAAATCTGACTTCTTCTTAGAATCGTTTCTGACAATTTCTGTATACCACTGTGTTTAGAACACGTCTGTGAACAAATTTGTAATGCTGACAAATTTTTCACTATTCACTATTCACATGAACAGTACTTGCGAGTTTACTATTGCAAAATTTACTATTCACATGAACAGTACCTCACAAAAATTGCAGAATTTCGAACCATCTCTGATACCATTTGTTGAGAAAATTACGCCGAATTTTCTTGTAATGTCAGATTTGTGGAAGTGAAAAATAAATGTGGAATATTGCACACACAAAATTGATAACGGAGTTCAGCCAATAATGCCTACGTCTCTTGACTGCTGCAGATATATTACTGAAAAGGGAATACACTCAGTGTTTACAAAACACTCCAAAATGACTCACAACCATTCACAACCCGTAACCCAATTGTACTAGAAGCTAAACTATTTTCTCTGTTTTTGCTCTCTGAATATTTTCAGTTGTTCTGCATTTTTTTGCCTTTCATTGCTTCCTTTATATAGGCAAATGAAACACTTAATTTCAAAACGCGTTAGGCACCGAAATTGTACGCGTTTTTCTTTGTCATGCGCCTTTTTTTTTTGACTTTTCAACATTCTCAAGAGTAAATGGGTGTTTTTGTGTACGAATAGAGACAATAATATTGTGATATTTAGTGCCAAGTACATTGAGCACATAAAGAGGAATACCATCATCATAAAAGGATTTTTCAATGATAGCAAGTTCATTAGTAAGACTTTTAACTGAGATCAAATAGCCAGTCATAGATTTTCCTCCTATTGTCTAATGCTTAATTTGGTTTTTGATTGACATAATGTGAGGACGAGACATATTTGCAAATTAAGATTCAATTGCAACCCATAAAGATATAGCAATATCATATGAGACAATGGAAAGACTATGAGCCTCTATCATGGTAAAGAGAAGGACATTCGTGATCAACGGTGAACTAAGCAATGTATTCAAGGTTGAGGATTGACAAGTCATCACTAACAATGGTTAAGGCACTAGATGGTGTGGTTTCATTAATGTGGCCCATGACATGGATACCGAGAAGGAGAGTGGTAAACAGTTGTTTCCACATGTAAAAGTTGGTGCAAGACACTTTAGAGGTGATGAAAGTATTAAGAAGGAGGAATGAAAAGTTAGGGGTGATCATAGCTACTAAGAGGTAGGATCGATATGCTTTAAAGTTAAGATAAATCTAAGCCCAGTCAGCCACCAACTCGGTGTAGGTCACATGACCTACAACTCGGCCTTCACTTTTTGAGACTTCCTCTACCCACATCTCTATGTGCTCGCATCACTTTCATATGGAGAAAGATAGGATACATACACAACGTATTACAAAATAAGATATGTACGTGACAATTTAATATTTTATCTATAATTTGAAACAATTGTAATTCAAAATAATAACAGATAAGTAGAATTAATAGCAAACAAATAATCATTTGATCATAGGAGCTTAGTTGACTGGTCTAGGTTGCCGTTGCCCATGTGCAAGCAAACATGCTTAATTTTATGGGTTACAAACACAAATTCCTTGATTTTTTGTTTTTCTTGGTCAACAAGTTTGATTTTTTTTGTTGCTAAAAAGCATATGTGATAAGCCCTTCTCAACCATTGCAATGTTATTGGGCCCGATGACCATACCAGGCCGGCCCACTATTGAAATCTAAAGGAAGCTAACACGACACCGTTTTACTCAGGGAACCAAAACCGAGAACAAGAAGGATGACACAGAAATGAGACAAAAACCTAAACCTAAACCCTGCAAAATGTTGGATTTAGGAACAGTTTAGTGTAAACAGAGGAAGTCAGAGAGAATTCGAAGTGGAGAGGATAACTATTAACTGGTAACAGCACCTTTCATCACTCATCAGAGATGGCTGCCATTGAGAGCAGAAAAAAATCAGTGGTTTTGGGTCTCTGCAAACACCTTTCATTGGATCCTGTAAGTCCATGCCATCCCCCATTCTTTTCTTTCCAATTTTCCACATACATTTTCATTGATCACTTCAAAACCCACGCATAACAGTTTCATGGCATAAATGCCACTCAACTAGGTTGGGCTTGAATTGCATGTGTGTGCTTACTCTGCACTATCATTGGTCCGTTAGGCTAGTTTTAGCTGCTTGAGCATAAAGTTGAGCCATGACTCGATTTCTGGTGTTTTCTGTTATCGAAGTTTCCAACTCGAAATATGGGCTTGATAGAGTGTAAATATATTAGCCGAGTATGAGTACTCTACTTTAGTGTGAGATGATAAATATAATAATGCAATATTTTTTGTTGTATATTTGATTGCAGAGTGTTGTTCCAGCTGATAGTTTAGACAGTGATATTAAGAGTCTTTACTTAAACATTACAGCGGCGTCTGGACATGGGGTTAATCACTCTGATGAGGTAACCGGCTTTAACTCACTTTGATTAGGCTGTTAATATTGTTAGTGCCACATGCTTCTGTTTCATTCCCTTTTTCTTTCTTTCTTTGTTAGTGCTTGATCAGATGCTAACTGTGGTGGTGGGAGTCTAAATTGAATGTTCCTTAGCAAAACTTGTATGTTTTGCTGTTTTTCTGTTGAGTATTTTCTGATTTATATATTCATCATATTTAGGTGTTGAAGTGGGTCGCATTTGCACAAGCCTTCCCTGTGGCCCTTGATGCATGCTTTGAGAATCTCAATAAATTAAATGATGAACTGTCTGGAAAGTCTGTGCTCCTGGGCAATGGATTGAAACCCTCTGAAGCTGATGTTATAGTGTTTTCAGTGATTCATTCTTCCCTGGTATGCTCATTGTCATATCCATCATACTCTCTATGCTTTTGTAATAGAGAATTTCCTCCCCATTCTCCTGAACGAAAATAGTTGTTCAGACAATAATTATTTGTCTTCCATGCTCTCTTTTTCTTGTTTTGTCAGGGTTTGTGCATCTAACATATTTCAATGCCTATAAGACTTTTGATTTGTGTTGAAGATCTATATTTCCATTTTGATAGACTACTGTTATCTTAATCTTCCTTTACAGTTTATACTAAGAGAAGTTGATTATATGGTTTTAACTTTTTTAAGTTTTAATTAGACATCTTTGGTTGCTTATTTCCAGATCAACCTTTCAGATACAAACAAGGAAAAACTGCCACATGTGTTGAGATGGATGGATTACATCCAGGTAATGCTATGCTTAAGTATGCTTATGTTCATGGCTATTTATGCATCAGAGACTATGCTATGTTGCCACTTGTATATGATATTTTCTGTTGATTGGTGCTACTTCTGCTGTAAATTTAGGAATCTGTGATTAAGTTGGTTTAGATGAGGGATATTTTTATCATTTTATTTCCGCAACAAATGCCAAAGATCATAGGCTAATTGTCTCTTAAAATAGTACAAAAGTAAATAACTGGACATTGAAAGTTGGTAGTAAGAACTGGTTAATGCCTTCTTGTTGATGTGATATAAAGGTTGAAGATTGTATTTTATGCAGTTCACATCTTACTTGATTTGTACTTATTTAATTCCTCTATCACCTCCATATGTAAGAACCCAAGTCCATTGATTATCCATTGATTCTCATCATTGAGTACCTTTTGCATTTTTACTGAGGAGACTCCTCTTTATTATGAATGGAAGTATTTGCATTTTCACCCTTCCAACTGTGTTTCTGAGAGAAGATTAACCATGTAAGGAACTCAAGTCAGGTTTGAGCTCATTTGTAACAATTATTTAGGCTTTGTGCGGATTACCAAATTGACTAAATATGCGAGAAGTCTTTTGGCATGTATTTGTAACGTTCTCTGAGTTGTTGCACTGTTTTCTAGCTATTTTGAGTTTGCAAGAATAAAGAACATTTATTTAAATTTTACTCTCAACTTTGTAACAAAAGCAATTTGTTAATTGTTCTGACTGTGTGTTACTTGTTCTCTCATCAGCACAAGCAAGAATTTGTAGGTTTATTTGAGAAAATATTGTTGCAGAAGCCTGGATTTGAACCTCCGGTGAGATATCATTCCCTTATTACTTTTTTATTTTCTTCATAGACCAAATAAAGACAAGCCACCAAGTATTCAGCTGTAGTCAGTTTAGACATTATATAATAACATTTTCAGAAAATGCAGTAAAAATTAAACAAGTTAAACTTCATGCATGAATGTGTATAATATTACTTTTTGGTTTTGTTGTTTTAGATTACAACAATTATTAAAGAATTAAATAGTTGATATCAAGTGAAAATGGGTTAAGTTACCCTTTAGGTCATTGCAAATATTCCTTAATTTTTTTTAAGTTAAATTATAAATTTAGTCTATATACTCGACATGTTTTTTCAAATTGGTCCTTACATATAAAAAAAATTACAATATAGTCCCTACATGAGTAAACATTTTTTTATTAGTCTTTGCCGTTATAAACATGTTAACGATATTTGATGAGAAGAATTGAAACGAAAAAAAAAAATCATATAAGAACTAAAATATAAATGTTTATAAAAACTTTTTTGTAAATAAGTGTCAACTATAAAGATTGAATGTGTATTTTAACCAGAAATAAAAAAAATTATGGACCTTTTAAGAAAAATAAACAAGGTACTTAATGAAAAATTCACAAAATTTTAAGAGTCTAAAATATTTAGTTTAGTTTCATATTTCAAAGATGATAATTTTTTTTATCTTGCAAAGGAAAAAGTATTTTTCAAATATTCTATAGAAATTGATGTACAATAAAAATTACAATGAAAATGTTAATGTTGATACTTTGTTCATTCATTTGAAAATAAGATAAAATTATAAAATAAAAAAATATTAATTTTAACTCTTAAGACTAAGTTTAAATAACTAGTTATAATAAAATGTTATTCAAAAGAGAAGCATTTATTTATACTTTAACTTTAATATTTTCATTATAATTTTATTGTAAATTAATTTCTATAGAATTTTTGAAAAATATTTTTTAAAAGAAAAAAAAATTATTATCTTTAGGATATAAAGTCACACTAGATATAAGTTTACTTGAAAATATAAGTTTTTAACTTCTTAAAATTTCATGATTTTTTCATTTGTTATGTCATTTCTTTTTTCCTAAACAATTCTACAATTTTTTTATTTTAGGTTAAAAAGCACATTTAATCCTTATAGTTGATACTTATTTATAAATTAGTCTGTATAGTTAAAATCTATGTTTCAGTCTCTTTCCTCTAACGCTGTCAACACGATTTTAACAACAAAGACCAATCTAAAAATGTTTACTCATGCGGGAACTAAGTTATACCTTTTTTTTATGTAGAGACCAAATTTAAAATACATGTCAAGTTATAGGGACTAAATTTATAATTTAACATTTTTTTAATAACTAATTACGTTCAATTCACAATGATTTATATGGTGTTTGCATGGTAGTCAACATTGTCCTACAATTTGCTGATGTGGCAATCCATCTCTATCTAGAACTTGATTTGGTTTTTGGTTAGTTTGGTCCCAAATCCCAATTTAAATAAAACATTTTGAAAGAGCATTTGAATCCTTGTCTTACATGGACTAAAATGAAAAATTGCATTTTTTTGGGGACTGAGTGTGTAATTAATTCTTAAAAGATCTAGTTGTATTCCTCACAACTCTGAAATCAATGACTGCTTGTATCAAGTTCTAGATTTGTATGGATTATTTTGATTTAATTTGATCTGCTCCTTAGTCTTATGTATAGTGTTTGTGTTTAGGTGTGCAAATGCTACTGTCTACTACTGTTAACTATGCTGAAGCAGTGCAATTGTGAAACCTACTAGAATCCTAATTGCCTTGCTTTATAAGAAAATGCATGTATCCTTTAAGAATTGTGAAAGCCATTCAAAATAAACAGTGTGTATATGCCTGTCGATATGTCTTCAGAGCTTCTATTATGCATCCTAAGGCATGCATGTGGAGATCTGTGTAGTCTAATAGCTGTTATGTATTTTCATTTTCATGATTATTTCAAGGTAGCAAAACCTGTTGGCACTGTAGAAGCTGATTTAAAATCAAACAAGGCTGAGCAAAGCATAAAAAATGTTAGCAAGCCAGAAGCAGACACAAGCAAAGATAAAAACAAAGCTGAGGTCAGTCAGTCTCTTTCTTTTTCCATAATGACCACCACTACTAATTCAATATATATTATGCTTTTACTTTTCTCCACTGGAGGACAACATTGATAATATGACAATGAGGTTATGATCTATGATAATGATAAAAAGCCTTTCTAGAGAGAAAATTGTTGGTTAGTTGGTGTTGTACATGTTAAGTAGATAGATGTTTCATAAAGCATAATCATTTCTTATTTCTTTAATTTCAAATTGGTTCATCGTAGTCAACAACAGTATGTTCATCCACAAAAAAGAAAAAGATGCATAAACTAATAAAACTTGATTCAAAAAAAAAATTTAGTATGTAGATAACAGTACAAAAAAGAAAAAGCTCGCATAAGCCAAAAAATGGCTGAACATGTACAAAAGTTCACACACTATGTTCGCTTAAGCAAGAAACATCTTGGTCATGGCAGAAAGACAAAGTGCCTTTAGTATGTATTCACTTAAGTGAGAAGACTTCCGCTTAAGCCAAAGCTGAATTTGAATAAGCTAGATCATTTTTGCTCAAGCAAATGTAACTGGGAAAACTAATTCAACACTATTAAGAACACATTCATTTCAGAAAAGAGGAAACAAATTCTTACACGAGTAGTTGGTGAAATTGAAGAAGGCACAAATGAGTTCACGTTTTCAGGATTTTGATCAAATTTGAAGTTGGTAAGCATCTCATAAATGGTGGTTGGTGAAAAAGGGTAAATGAGGGATTAAAAACACAATCCAAAACTCATGCACGTTTGCAGGGATCTGAAAGCTACTCCATTTAGCATTCAATGCGTTCACATTTTGCTCCACCCAGAGGTGTGTCCTTCTGTTCTCTAAACACACGGTCAAAGCATTTCCCATGTTTGACTGGCTTGGATGTGTGTTTCCTCCTCCTGAACGGCCATCCAAACTCACTTCATCCACAAAAAAGAAAAAGATACAGAATCTAAGAAAACTTTATTTTAAATAATAATTTAATTCCAGCTAACAGTTCTTGATGTATGACATTGGAAATGGTGGTCAGTGGTAACCTTTTCATGATTTGAATTTCCCGAGGTTGATATTTATTTCGATAAAGTCAAATGCATGTTATACTAGAGAAGATTGAGTGTTACAAGTGCCTATTTGTTTTACAAACTCCTTGTGCTTATCTAATTGCATCGTAATACAGCTGCTTCACTCTGGCTTGGCATTTTATTTCCTTTATTTTTGGTTAGGGGAAGTCTACAAGAGACAAAGAACCTACTAAAGCCAAGGCAAAACCTGCTGAAAAAGACGTGGCTGAGAAAGAGAATGAAGTTAGTGTCAGTTTGCTTAATATTCAAGTTGGATTAATTCGCAAAGCGTGGAAACATCCATCTGCAGATAGGTCCTTTGTCAACCTAACCGTGAAAACCTTTAATAAAGGAACAGAATGTTAAACTAAACTTACCACAATAGAGTTGATGCTCCTGTAGTTTGATATGTTTGACACCTGTTTAGATAAATATTAATTTCAATGAACTTAAATTATGCAGTTTGCTAGTTGAGGAGATAGATGTTGGGGAGGCCAAATTGCGGCAGGTTGTCAGTGGTTTAGCAAAGTACTGCAGTCCTGATGAGTTGACGGTAATGTAGTTACCTAATCAAGTGCAATGATTGGTTGTATTCATTTTGAAATACTAACTATTCCATATGGTTCTGATGTTTGATTTCACTACACAGAATCGTCGTGTTGTACTTATAACAAATGTCAAACCTGGAAAACTACGAGATGTGATGTCTGAAGGACTGGTATTTGTTTATTTTATCATGCTCATTCTTGTTGCACAAATTAAATCGTCTTGCAGTCTGTATCTTACTTATTTGGCTTCCCTATTCCAGGTCTTGTGTGCCTCAAATGAAGGTCCAACCATTGTGGAGCCCTTGCTCCCTCCAGAAGGAGCAAAAATTGGGGAACGTATTTCTTTTTCCGGGTAAGCTGTTCAATATCTTTTGGACCACAGCCAGTTGGATATTTCATACTTGAGTGAGTTATTTAATCCTCTATATAAAATATTAAACTGAATATCACTTTCATTCAACTATGTTTTTGCTGCTAGCTCCTAATTTAGAAATTCATACTTTGTAGTTTGCCACGGTCTTCAAATGCCTTATAATTTGGCTACTTTTACTTAGATGTGGGTAATGGATCACTGCCAACCCACTCTGGATCGGCTCGACCTGAAACAGGTTGATAAGAAATGAGCCAAAGTGGGTTTGACTTGCTTAAGCCTGTAGGCTGACGAGTTGGTAGTATCTATTTTCGTGGGCTTTCAAAGATAAATTTAGAGTTTTGGATCCAATTTTTGGACATTGGGCCTTTGAAATCATTTGGACTTGAGATTTTTATCCTTGCATCAGAGAGCTGGTATAAAAAAGGTTTTAATTTTAAAATAAATGTTTGGCTGGTTCATGGGCCACAATCTGTTTAATCTGCGGGTTAAATGAACTGGGTAAGTAAACTTGTGTTTAAACAGATCTGCTAATTGTCTGTTCCTAATGATCCCAAAGGAAAAAAAAAATAGCCTGGCCCTTGCATGCACTTCCCGGCTTATGGGTTAAACTAGCTAGCCCTTGCTGAATAATCACAATTTTATTCCCTTTTCGATTTCTCATTGCCCTTAACTGAAGCAATTTACACTGAATTGTGCCAAGGTACTACTACTAGCAAAGTAGAAAAGCCGAGACAGATTATGTTTGGGAATTTAGTTTTGATATCCTCTTTATAGCTTGTCAAATATCTCATCCCTATGTTATTTACTTATATGCCTTTTATTGTGTCTGGAGATATAATTTCGCATGGTAAAACAGATATATCAAACATAGGATATAGAGTCCACATTGTGAGGTACATCATACCTTTGAAAAATGCTTTTCTTCAGCACTTACTTGAATATCGTTCAGATTTTACTTTGTAGCACTTACTTTTCTTAATTGGGTTTTGGATACAGTTTACTTGGGATCATTAATTTTACCTGTATTTTTCGTTCTTATTTAGGATTGATGGAAAGCCAGAAGATGTACTTAACCCAAAAAAGAAACAGCTTGAGAAGATTACACCTGTATTTCCTTTGTACTCTTTAGTTTGGCGTTTTAAAACTTTATGATGTTTATACTTGGAAGTTATGATGCTCACAATCTCATTGTATTTGCCCATGCAGCATCTTTTCACTGATGACAAGGGTGTGGCAACATTCAAGGGAATACCATTTATGACATCTGGTGGACCATGTACATCATCCATTCCCAGGGCAACTATTAAATAGTGAAGATATGGCCCATTAATTGTTCTCGAACACACAGAGATTGTTGGTACCACAAAATATTGCAAGTTTTGAATTGCGTGAATAAGACGTTACTACTATTGTTAGCAAGTTCGTGTTGCAGTTACAGTTACATGGTTTTAAATTCTAAATATACAATCTTGAATCCAATGACTCTGGAGTTAAAACTATAGTAACATCGTACATGGTAAAAATAACGAGAGACTGTTGAAAACTATCCAACCTACCAACCAAGGGTTATTATGCATGGCCTTAAATGCTACATTATAATCCCGAATCCAATGACTCGAGTTAATACTACACTGTCAAAAGAACGACTGTAAAATTGTACTAGTAGCCAACCATGTATTATTGTTATAATTAAATTAGTAATTAATTTCTTAAATTTTAGTTGTTTTGTTTTTTTTTGTCTCTTAAAATACAGAAATGTTTTAAACAAGTTATTCTTTATTAAAAATTTTAAGTTTGTTAAAATTATTCATTTTTTTTCTTGTGAATTCTGTCAAAAATACAAATATGTCTACAAGTTTTTTTGTTCTTTTTTTTCCTTTTCTTACTTGTGTCAATGTTTTAGTCTATGTTTTAATAATTCATTTTTCTTTTAAATTTAACAATTTTTCTTATTGACGTTTTCATAACTTGTTTTTTCTCTTAAACATTGACGAAAGTATTATTATTATTTTTTTCCTTCTATTGTCTCTATGAATACCTTACTAGGATAAGAGTCAGTTGTTGTTGTAGTTTTTTTTCTATTTTCAGTTTAGGGTTCACACTTTTTTCAAGACCCAACTAAAAAATTCATTAAAATAAAATTATCGAAGTTTGAAGGAAAAGAACAAGAGAAAGAACATGGATCGGTACTTGAAGAGGATTATGGCACTTGAAGAGGAATATGGCTTTAGATTTTGGATTTCTTGAACTAACTCTTTAACATTTCTGAAATAATATTTTTCACAAATCAATTTTATTTTTTAACACATAAACTTCTGTCATGTTAAAGAGTGGGAAATCAGGGCTGGGGTCATGAGATTGGTAATGAATCCGTGAATTTGTGATTGAGAATGAATGACATTTATTTCCGGGTTTCAAAGGTATTTGGCGAATCTCTGTGAGATTGCAGTGCAACTGCAGCTTGGATTGGGTTCAGCTTACTTGCAGGTTGACTGTGTCTCCTGTCATCAAATCAAGTGTGACTTCAACCCACCCTTTTATTTACATTTCTTCATCTACTTACCCTTCGTTATGTGCTTCTTATTTTCCAGATTTAGTAATAAAAGCGACCATATCGTGAGCTTTATTATACAGCAACCAGGAAAAGACTTAAGATTCCAACAACAAAAAAGAAAAACAAATGGTTGGTACTTGGATAACAGCAAATCTGAGGTCATTTCATCATCTCATTCTATGTTTATTAGCATAATAATGTCAAAAGAAAAATGTTAAACAAGACATTCTCAAATGCATCGTGTCCTATTGATTTAAATTCATTAAAAATCTTGAAATCAAAAAGGTTTCACTTTTTATTTAATAATCTTGATTTTTAATTTTGTAATTTATAATATTTTTTAAAAAAGTATTTTAATGACACTTCTTTAATATTAATTATAATTCACGAAATGATGGCACTTGTACCCAACATGTGTTTTATATTTATTAATAATATAGTTATTTGGAGTATATACATGCATATAGTAGATTGTGGCTTGATTAAACAATGTTATTTTAAAAACTTTTTAGTGAGAGATGATAGTCAATTTAAAGTAGACAATATTTCTTAATTTGTAATATTTAAAAAAACTTGTATTTACATCGCTCTAGCTCTAAATGTAACGAATGTAAACTTATTGAACATATACTTATCCAACATAAAATTTTATTTTACTTCACTAAACTAATTCTTAAAGTTAACCAGTAACTGATTTGATCGCTCAATGATAACTTAACATATTATTTTATTTCATTTAAAATCTTTTGCATTAAAAAATGTTTTTTAATCCTTTTATTCTCTTACATTTAAAATTTGTTACAAGTTAAATATGCTTCACTGAAATTTTATTTAAAGCTTTGAAATTAGGTTTCTAATATATATATATATATATATATATATATATATTATTTTTATAATTATGTATATTAAATTTACATGTTTATAAATATATTATTTTCTGTCTTAAAAAATTAAACGGTATTTGCACTCTACTCTGATTCTGATAAGATGGGAGCATGACCTAAAGCATTTTGTCCAAGTCAAACAAAGTTTTCGAGGACTGTTTTTGACCATTATGTGGTAGAGCACACTGACGCCTTGAATTGCTCTTCTTGAAGCAGAAAGAAAACTTGGACACGGATTTGATATTAGATTCTAAGACTCAATTTCTCAATTTCCCTCCTTTTATTATGTAACTATGACCTTACACATCTTTGATGACACAATCACACGCACACATTGGATTTCATTTCTGCAGCCCAAGATGTGATCCGTACGGTTGAACAGCCAGTGGAATATGCAGAATCCAGAAAAAGGAAAGAAAACAAATTTGAGATTCTGACCCCCCAAATACGCTGAAAATTTCTGTTCAAATTGCATTTATAAATGATATGCACATTTTATTATATATACATATATTTCCGTCTCAAAATCAAACTCTTGATATGCATAGATTCTATCCAGTTGGTGGAAGCAACCTGAGATACGATCTTATGTGTTGGTCAAATCCGATAGGAGAAAATATGATTGCATCGAATCACTGTGTCCAAAAACAGTTTGATATACTTAAGGTACGGATAGTGCAATCCATCGTATCAATGTAGCACAAGTCATTTCTACCTATAAAACTATGAAGCACATGCCATTTATCATTTTATACGTACCCATTGTGATTGCAATCATATCTTCTTTTCCTCCTCTTGATTCATTGATTTCAATTTTGTTTTCTTTTTTTCGCTATATCGATTTCAGCTTTTGTTTGTATGCCTCTTCTGCTTGACTTTTGGACCATTCAAAAAAGTGAATTTTGATTTTAGAAGAATCTCCATGTCCCATGAATATATAATGTTGAAGGCACCTACATGATATCGTGTTTCATGAATGAAGTTGCAAGAAGACAGAAAGTTCCATTCTTGTTAGCTGAATCAACTCCAATCCGCTGTTAAAATATGTATTCTGTTTAGTAATATACTACAATGTCCATCAACTGTGTAAATAAATATCTAAATTTGTCTCGCGTAAAAGATACATATAATTAAGAAATAATAATAATTTATGCTAATACTTCGACAAGGATCACCATAAGATTCACATTGTTTAAAGTCAACAAATTATTAAGTTTCATCTTATATCTGACAATCCGTTTCGGTTAATTTAATGAACTCAATTTTGCAGATATCATAGGGTGAAATTTTATATTAATGTTTAATATTACATTGTTATATTATTAAATTAAGAGGCTGATCAATTATAATTATTCGATAGGTCAAACTCATAATACAAAATTAAACGATAATTAATAAATTTCTATAACATCCTTCTTATTTGGAAAAATAATAATTACTAATAATATAGTAATTTTGAAAACAAAAATGTTAATGCAGAAGAAAATTGAACCACAATATATAATGGAAATGAGTTGCGTCAAGTTTATATATTTTTAAATAAGCCTTTCTAAAAATAAGATTTAAGCTCTTGGCTTACTTTATATATAATGTAATTTGAATTCATTAACATACTAACCTCTTAATAATTAAGTGCCTTTCAATGTATTAATAAGTATATGAATTTTAAAGGTTGCAGTAGAAATTATACATAACGTCATCAATTTCTTATTTAACTAAAGTTAACCTAGTAAATTTAAAAGAATTTGAGATAAAACTTTTGAATTAAAAAATTATAGAAAAGCATATTGATTTCTCTTAAATTGTACATGTTTTTGAATAAATGGTCTAAACTTTAATTTCAACTGAATTTTTTATACAAGATATTTTTATATGATTTATTACTACTGTTAATAACTTGTACAATAATCCTAAATTTACAAATAAAAGTTTTCTTACAATACATTATAGAAATAAAAAGAGGAGGGAAAAACAAAATGAAACAGATGTTGTGATAAAAAAAAAGTAAGAAAAGGGGATGAATGAAGAGAAGAGAGTGCAGAGAGTGATGGTGAAATCTCGTCAAGAGAGACAGTATAAATGAAAGGAGAGGGAGAGAGTGTTATGAATAGAGGGGTTGAGGTGGGGACTGAATCAAATCCATAGATACCCGAAAAGGATCACGAAATATCTGTGACTTGATATTATCTCTATCATTCTCTCTCTATATATATAGTTTTTCTAAAATTCCTCGCCCACCAATTAACCCACCTTCGAATTCATGTCCATTTACTCTCTTTGTTGTGTGTATATATAGGATATCGTTACGTTCATAAAACTCTTGTGACTTTCACACAGTGTTTCTCTCTTCCTTATTTATACACGTCTTGTCACCCAAGCCGTTTTGTTTTTCTTTTCGTCCTCTTCTACTCAACATTTAATAGCATTGCAGCCTCCTTTATTGCAACTGCGTTTATTACCTTGTGTGTAACATAACATAACATTTGAGACACCGAAACCACCGTTCAGTACTATTTATTCTTCTCTTTATTACTTGACATCACAACGGAACGCATGGCTTCTGCACCTTCTTCTTCAAATTGGGTAATGGAAAGCTCTGATGTTCCTCATGTTTTGGCTGTTGATGATAATCTCATTGATCGCAAACTTGTTGAGAAACTCCTCAGGAATTCTTCTTGCAAAGGTACACGTACTAACCATTGTCTCTTTTACTTTTCATGTTTTTTTTATAAATAACATGACAATGTGAATACCCCATTTATTTCCCTTTTTCTACCATGTTATATTATTTTAATAATATCTATCATTTCTCTCTCTCTCTCTCTCAAAGTAGACATAGTAGGAAAATGTTTTGTTTGCTGTACATTCTGTGAATACCTCTGGGTTTTATATATATATATATATATATATATATATATTAGAATGCATTTATACATAAAAGATATATGATTTTAATTTTTAATGATTCAAATAATAAACCTGATGCATGTTGAGTGTCTAATAAACATTTTCCATTACTTTTTCAAACTGGCTAGTTTTACACGTTTCCCTTGTTGAAAAGTAAAATGCTCTGAGACACCTTTATGGCTTACTCTTTTTGTTGGATGCTTCTTTCAGTCATTTTGGTGGTACTGTTTGGGAAAGTGTTTTGTATGGGCCTTCCGGTTGGGTTGGGGTTCACTAGTGAGTTATTGTTGGTTGCTAATGCTATTAGCTTCAGTTACAACTGCAGAAAATGGGCCTAGGGCATTGGAGTTATTGGGTTTGGCAAGTGGTGGACAGAACAACTTGAATGGGGTAAGTCTTCTCTCTTCATTGACAAAAAAAAGTCCTCTCTTTTCAGATTAGTCAATGTTGTGCTAAGTAGTAAGACTATTTTTGTTACTTTGTAGAGATCCAAAGTAAATTTGGTTATCACAGACTATTGCATGCCAGGGATGACAGGCTATGAGCTACTAAAGAAAATTAAGGTATTTAGTGTTGTTGGTTTGAATTTGATGGTATTTCTCTCTTTTATTCTCTTGCACATGGATGCATTCAATGATACAATATTAATAGCTAGCCACCACAAACTACATTCTTCTGTAAACAGGAATCATCTGTAATGAAGGAGGTTCCAGTAGTGATCATGTCATCTGAGAACATACCAACTCGGATTAACAAGTAATTGCTAGCATTAGCTATATAAAAGTGCTATACCATCTATGTATTTTTTCTATTGTTCAATCTGCTCAATCATTATTGTTCTGATGAAAACAGGTGTCTGGAAGAAGGAGCTCAGATGTTCATCTTAAAGCCCCTCAAACAATCCGACGTAAAAAAACTGACATGTCAGTTAATGAATTGAGAAGGTGAAATTTGACTTTTAAGAGAGTCCAGGCAACTAGGCAAACCCTGTATTATTTTTTTTATGGTCATCTATTGCTAAAATCTAGGCCTTAACCAGAATGCTACCGTCTAATTGTAGTAGTTTAGGTGTAGAAATGCATTTCATTGTTTTGAGGAAGCTGTACTTTACTTTCTTTTATTGACCTACATATACCAATTTATTTTCTTAGAACTAAAATATAGTTCATGGCTTTTAAAATCTTTAATTTGCTCGATGTAGGGAGTTAGTTTTGGGGGCACAATAAAAATAAATGCATTATAAAACATCCAAACTCTCTTGCTGCAGAAAATGATGATTAGGCTGAAATTGAAGATCGGGCATGGTTTTGTATTGCCTTTACAACAAAATCCATTAATAATTTGCTTACAATTTTCTATAACCAAAAGAGATGGCTGAATTGCTGATTGCAGAGAAATAATACCTTAAGACTCTTCCAAAATTCCAAATTGTTTATACATCATGAAAAGAATGATGTAAAGCTATCTAATACCATAGGAATGATAAAAAACCAAAGTGAGAACCACTTATTCAACCTTTCCAACCCCCTTTTCCTCCCCCAAAAATAAAAAATAATCGTGGAGTATAAAGAAAGTTACGAGTATGAATGCATTGATTATGACTATAGATTCATTGAACCACTATGGTTTATGTCACCAATCAAAGTGCTTGCCGTGGTGACGATGGTGACGATGTCTATGTTCATCCAAACCCAAGCACCGGACAACAGGGTAACAAGTGACAAACATGCACCTCCCAATACCTCTGAACATGCATGAAGCCGCACGACAAGGGCAACAACAGCATCTCATCAGCTTGTTGTGCTTGTTCTTCCTATTCTTCCTCTTCATCTCCTTGCTACGCTTTTGCTTCTCAACCTGTTGCTCCATTTTGCTATCAATCACAAAACAAAAACATACCCACAAATTATATATCAATGATAAGACCAAAATTAAAAACTTTGAACCAACGTAAATGTACCGTCATCTCTCGTTACCGTGAACTTTTATTGTGATAACTTCAGGGCTGAGAAGCAGAAAATTGGAGACAAATTAAGGGAAACAGCATCGGATTCAGTGGCTGTTAGAAAAAGAAAAAGAAAAAGAAAGTGATTCTATAAAGAATGAATATTTAAGCAAAGAATATTCGTTTTGAGAGGTTCGTACTGAGTGAGGTAGCAAAGCATAATAATAATAATGTTGCAAAGGTTTATTGTGGCCTAGTTCAAAGCTGGACCGGAGCGTAACTCCCTTTAACGCGTTTTCGTATTCTGGTTTCTCCCTGCTATTAATTTTCTTTTTTTTAATTTCTCACATTTTCATAGTCTTTTGGTTGTTCATTAGTCATTATTATGGCTGCTTTATTGATTATTGAATTAGTTTTTAAAGTTGCAATTAAACTCACTGTCTATAGTTATCATATTCATTTTGTTTAGTTGAAACAAAAGTGATTAATATGCTGCTTCCAATATTTTATTTACTTCCCTCAAGTCATAAAATAACCAAAATTATTTCAACTTTTGGTTTTGCTTTCGTTTCAGATTGATTCATTATTTTTTATAAAATAAATAAAAAATCAATATATTAAATTATCCTGTAGGATTTTATTTTTTCCTTAGTTTCTTATACTATAATGATCTGTTTCTTTATTTAGTTGGGATTGTTAATACAGAGTTTAATTTTAGTGTAATGTAAGTAGGTATACAATTTTTTATATGATCACCAAATTAAAATATTCTATAACGATATTTTTTAAAAATTAACTATTAGAACAATCAATAATTTTTGTTTATATAACAATATATGTTATGTATATTATAATATATTAATTAAATTCAAGATAGTGTTTTATGTTTTATCATTATAATGTATTAATTATAATACACCATAGTACACAAGCAAGTATATTCAAAGTGTCTCCTCTCCCCCTCTATGCTAAAGACAACATGATTCCAACAGTATCTAATTAAAGGTCCTTTGTGAACATAAGGGTGATATTAAAATTAGGGATGTGGTGGTTTTGGGGGGCAAATAAAATAGATGGGAGTAAATCATAATTAGTAGGTGGGGAGACCCTCTCTTTTGTGTTCACAACATAGAAGAAAAATTGAATTTTTATAAAGAGCTGCTGCTATGATTTGGTTCTATAAAATAAAGTTGGTTGAATGGAATTTCACGCTCTTTGTTAGCAAATAATAAACTCTCTTAAAAAGTAAAATGCAATGTTAACATTGATACAAGACTTGGCTGTATTTATGTATATGTGTATGCATTTAGTAGGAGAAACATGCAATTTATCTGTTACCAAATTCACTTGGGATAGTGGTAAATGGTAATTAAGTGATTTAAACTTTAAAACGAAAGGGTATCTGTGATAATTACACTTGTTTATTCCTCATCTAAAATTAAAGGCAGAGAATTCTTTTAATTTTATTGTAATTAAGTGCTAATTTATTCCTTGTCAGTAAGTTCTGCTTTTCTTATTCTCGTTAGTATCGAACTATCAATTTGGGTATAGAAACTGGAAATGACAGCAAAAACTGAGGTAGCTAGGTCGTGATTTAATTTAGCAAACGGAGGTCAATCAGATAAGTATAATTTTAAATTTATTTATTTATTATGTTATCAATTTTTTTTAATTATTAAATTAAAGAATTATGACATGTTTTTTGTTTTTAAGATAAAAGAAATATATTTCTTAAAGAGTATGAATATGCAGAAGCGATAAAAGGAATAACATTGTCATCATATTCATTATGCCATGTTAAAAGATATGGATAATGACTGCCCCTACTAATATACTATAGTTATTGTTCAACAAAAACTAATTAAATCATATAAAGAACAAAACGAATTAAGGATAATCATTGTTTAGTAATTAAATTTTACATGATGCATCTACAAGTTTTGTGTCTTTATTTTTTTAATAGACATTAATTAAAGTTTAATATAATAAAATTAGTAACGATGGTTTTTAGTATTTTTAAAATTTGATTTAAAATTTAAGAAATAATTTGTTTTTATTAAAAGTTGAAAGTGTATTTTAAAAAATATGATATGAGTGTTTTAATAATAGTTTTTAATATTTTTAAAAATTTACTAACCAATACTTAAAAAGGCCGCATTTATTTCTTATTTTTACTCTTAGCTACCAATTAATGTTTACCTAAAAATTAATAAAAAAATAGATAAATAAAAAATTTGTTCATGATTTATTATATTACAATTACAGGACTTCGACTAGTTTTAACGAGTTGGATTAAAAAATTTCAAATCCAATTCAGACCTATAAGATGATGTCTGAATTTGATTTTCTTTTTCTTGATTTTAAGTAAATATTGTAAAAATTGATTAGATTAAACTAAAAAAATTTATAGTTAATTTAAACCTTATATTTTATCATATAAGTTGAAATTAACTCAATTAGATAGGTTTATCTTAACAACTCTAACATCACACCGAGTGTATTATATTTATTTTGAAAAAATGAAATCATCCTTGAGTGACCTCAAATTAGCATTACCTTAATTTTAAAAAAATGTTAACATAAACTTATAAGACTTATTTTAAATATCTAAGAGTAATAAAATTTTATTAAATAAATATTTTCCTAAAACTATAAAAATATAATAACTATTTTAAAAAAAATTCATATTTTTATTTACTTAAAAAATGATATTAACACAATCATAATTTTTTTTTATATTAAATGAAACAGTTAGATTTGTAAAATTTGTCCTTTGGAAATGAAGTTAAGCAAACTATGACTATCACAAGAAAATAAAATTATTTTATATTTGAAGATAGATTCACTGTATATTTTTTCATTTTTAGTGGTGTAACTTTTTTCTTGTAATTTGTCTAATTGAATTAAGGTATAGCATTACTTTGGATTTTGCACATTTGTTGGGTATAAAGCTACTTAATTAAAATTGAATATATAAAGCATTTTCCCATTAAATAATAATATTTCTCACATGCCTAGTATTCAAATATATACTCCATAATTTTACTTGCACCTTATATGTAACATCATCAAATCATTTAATTTGTGAGATGCTTTATCATGACACGCAACTAGCTGGCAATTTAATTAGTTGTAAAGGAGTTTGTGTGTGTTTTTGACGTATATAAGTTTGCTACTATCTTGGTCCCTTGTTTGGTATGGTGGGTTAGAAGTTGATGGATTGTAAGAGACTATTGTTTTTTAATTTAGCTCCATTAAACTTAGGGATATATTTCAAAGAAAATTCGTGAAATGATATCTATTGGTTGAATGAAGAATTAAATTTAAACAACTTTATGTTATATTATTATGTGTATATATTGTGTATATACATTTTATGTTATATTATTATTATATTTTGTTTCAAATATAATAATCTATATAACTCCTTTTCAAACTAATCATGCTTAATGGCAAGTATTAATAATTCAAATTAAACGATTGGTATGAAAAATGGTTTGAATTTAAATTTCAAAAAATGATTCACCCATCATTAAAGATGCATGAATTAATTGGAGGAACCAAAAAGCGTTTCATAAGTACGTAGAAACTTTCACTCGCTGTGTCCTTTGCACAATTGCACTTATTCACTTAACACGCTTCCGTATAACATTCTTATTTTTCTCTCTTTTAGCAGACACAATCACAGTGGTTCTTGGCCTACACTGATTAATACCTTTACCCTATTGTCATGGATCTTTTCCACTTCTTTCAATCCAATTTATATTCAAACAAACAAAGTGTACATACTCCAAAGTATCATACTATCTATGATGGGGTTTCTTTTTCTATTGTATTTTTAATTGAGGCAATTATGTGGGGCATTGCTTTTCCATTTTCCAAATTTATTGCTTTTTCTTGCGTTGTAATAGATAGATAACAATCTTCACTTTTTATTCATTCTTCTTAGTTATTGATCCTATATCTTTTGGTATGGTTCATCATGGCCCGTGAAAGTGAAAATAATAGCCTGTGGGATATTTAAAAAATATATATATTATTTTTAGATGTTGTTAATGAATTATTATTATTATTATATTTTGAATTTTTTAACTATCTTATATTTTTTTGTTAAACAGGTCAGCCCACTAACTTGCGGGCTAGATAGGCCTGCTATCGACAACATTTTCTTGGATCCACTTATTTTAAGGGCTAATCCAAGTAAGCCCGT